AAATAGAAGAGAGCTTCAAGATGGCACCGCTACAACCGGCAGTGCTCATGCGGTACCTGGATGATTACTTGGCACTTTGGTCACATGGAAGAGAAAAACTGGAAGGGTTTCTGCAGTTCGTAAACCAGATTGATGGACAAATTCAATTCACGATGGAGGTTGAGGAAGGTGAGCGGTTATCGTTCCTGGACGTTGAAGTGATTCGTTATAATAGGACGCTCAAAAAGAAATTGCTCAGAAAGGAGTCCTATGCTGGGATAATACTCAGTTTCCGGTCCCATCCCACTTACAGGCTAAATATTAGAATAATGAGGAGCATGATCATCTGTAGCCTACGCCTACGGATATAGAATTCTGGTTGGAGGAGCTGGACAAATTAACGAGGTTATTACTCAGCAAGGGCTATCCAGGCGAAGTAATACAAAGAAACATACGGGCCGTGAAAAGCCGATGACAGAATGGGGACTATGAAATAAATAAAGGGGGATGACAGATTCACAAATGTGGATATGCATGCCTTCCTGCGAACTAACTCAAAAACTACGAACAATACTGAGTAAATGGAATATTCAGGCGGCCATAATTGCGAAATAAACACTTTTCACAAGTCTATCAACGCAAAATGAAAGAGTAGACAAATTGGATTATTCAGGAGTTTACTGTATATCATGCTTAGATAACATAGGCTTAATCAAGAAGACGACACGTGAAGGAAAGGCATGGGAATCAGAGCTTAGGCGCTCTGCTCAGTGAGGCGGTAGAGTATGTGCTTCTAGGGCCTTGACGAATAGCGCCTAGAGTAAAATGCACACAGTGACTGAACCCGAGTTAAATCGGTCAGCTAGAAAGATAAAGAACGGATCTACGACGCAATTAAAGGATCCGGATTGGAGGCCCGAGTCGGATAAGCCCATCGAAAGAGATGGGTCGGGGTAAATAGCAAGTGTGATGAGCCCACACACATTTTGACGAGTGGAGTATGAACAAATGAGAAGATGTGATAGGGCGGCAGTGGGATAAGAGTGTAAAGAATAGATAGATAGGCAATGACACGAAGAGCAGTGATTGTGTAACCGTTTTCGGCAGAACATTTGTCGAGGGATTGAATTATCTTGTCTCTTTTGACAAGTTCGTAGCTTGGTGTGGCGAATGGCAAAACTTATTGATGATGCCGACTACGATGCCGGCAAAACTTTTGAGAACGTATCAAGTCCACTGTCAGATGCTGGGAATTATGACAACTACTATGGCAGACGATTTCGGACTAGGTGCGTTCTACTTAGTCGCCCTGACAAAAAGACCACGTTGCGACAACGAGGTCAACCTAGTTCTATAAATCGAAAGGAGACTGCGACCATACCAAGGGCCACAAATCTTGGTCTTCATATATTTAAGTATATTCCTCATTATTTGTTTTTCATTGATTATTTTATTAATTAATTCATATCATTAGTTGTTTACAACATATATTGCAACCTAATGAAGCAACTGAATTGCAGTCACACAACTTTTTATGCATTAGGGCATTAGCGGTATCACCATAAATTTGAGCAATATCGTAACTTTTGGAAAGGCTAGTTTAGACATTATGTAGTTTTTTTTGGTCAAAAATATTTATTAACTAGTCCAAAATCAACCTCATCTCTCCGTTTAAATTTAAATAAAATGACGCAATGGCCTTTTGTAAGGCAAGTCTTTTTAACTATAAATAACTTCATTCAACCTGGTATAGACTAAATTTTATTAAAAATTTTAAAATAATTCTTATTTTGATGGTATTTTCTTCTGCTTTTTCAGTGAAAAATATATCTGCGCATACAAGAGCAGTGTCGAGTAATAGTTTTTATGTTCCTATTATTCACTGCCCAGAAATTAAGCCACCCGTACATCTTCTAGTCGCAATTAACCACTGAAAAGGTGTCTAAATAATAACTTGATATAAAGGATAATCCAATTATTCATCTAAGCATGCATCATTCATTACGTTACTTAGAGGGGTTAGTGACTAAATAATAAATGACTTAACTTCGTTGTATTCTATTTCTAGAATGGGTAATTTTTCTTTAATCAATAATAGGTTCTAAGTAGCTGTGGACATTTTAGCACTTTGGCGGAAATCAAAGCTGAAATCTGCATTTAATTTGATAAATATGGTCATATCTATCTAAATTCTTAATGTAGTTTCTATATTTACGTCTCTAGACTTGCGCGTCTAAAGTTCGAGCACTACCAGAGATGCACTCAAAGCCTAAGAAAGAATATTATTAGTAACAGCTTGAGAAAGCTGAAACTGAACTTTTATCGTTATAAATCAATAAAATAAATTTAAAAGAAGCGTATTTGTTAAATTTGGATTTTTTATAACTTTTCACTGACCAAATTTAGTCTATAAATATTTATAAATTTAAAATATGTTCACGGGAATTTTAGAGTAATATATATATATATATATATATATGAAAAATATAACAGCATATTGAATTTAACAATAAATAAAAATTAAATTTTTGCTGAAGAATCATTTTAAAATTTAGCAAGCAAATAATTCGTGACTTCTGTTATAAGCAAATAATTACATTTAACTGATTGAGGCAGTATTAATTAGTAAAACTATTTAGTCATAAAATTCTACAAGGTTTTTTACATCATATCCAAATGTTTTTGCAAAGTTTTATTAAATAA